TTAGTAAATCGTTGATGTAATGTAATCAGAGAAGCCTCTCTAAAAGATATATATGTGCGTTGACAAAATAAAAGATATTTGGTCTCTTACGTTCAAACGATCTTGTGGCATATGCACTATAAAGTTATCGCAATTGTCTCGTCATGCGAATACTATACTTTCTGAAATCTAAATTCCGTTTTAAGCATAGATTGCTAGAATAGTGGATGTATAAAAGTCAATGCTCACAAGTTGAAATCACAAATTACCGAAAAAGAAAAACATGTAGCAAACATTTTATAACTTACTCACATAGAGTGCTTTCAAGATACCATTCTAAGCTACGTGTTTGTGTGCTTGAGTCTTTAGAATTTAGAAACTGAATTCCATTATGTAGAAGGGATAGAATTTAGCTAATATCCAATAATAAGGAACATTGAGTTTTCTAGTTGCTATCTATTTGCGACAAAAGATTTATAAACTAAGTGGTAGGGGGTTTAGTGATTGAAAAGTTCACTCTACGATATAACTAAATGTCTTTTTGAGAGAATTCGAGTCTTTCCACCACGATTTCAATTATCTTTGGCCATCCATAAACAATTTAAGTGACAAAACTCGGATTTTTATAAATTTCGAAAAATTAGTTTGGATTTAGGCATGAGATCCTCTGGTTTTAAAAAAGAAAAATTATACGAACAAGTAGTTCAGACGTCATAGCTCGGCCAATTGTTTTTTTCTTATGAATCTCGGTCCAACAAAGGCCCATAAGCAGTCTATGAGGTCAGGTCAGTTCAAACTACATATGGAATTTTTTTCCTACACTTGTATTATGTATGTATTTTTGTTTGTTCTAATTTTGACTTTAGGCAAATTGAAATGTACTATGATAACAAAAAGAAAAATGTCGAGTTACTTAAAAACACAACCTGACATTGGGATGGTCTCGTGTGCTAGCCTAAAATCAGAATACCTCTGTCCGCTGCGTGCTTTGCAATCAAACGGATGAAACCCGTGATCGTTTGTTCTTTAAGTGTGAGTACGTGGCTGCGATATGGAAGAATCTGAATCTCCGGCTACTAAATCAAAATTACACAAGCGATTATTCTCCTTCCACTCTTACCCAGTCAAACCATCAAGCTCTTAACCAGTCCAACCATCGACAAGCT